GCCTAATAGTTTAGGATAAGTATGAAAGTAGCGTCTAACCCATGTCTGTATCCCTGCAGTCTATGATGACTGTGAAGCGATGGTCGCGTGGCCCTTCAGCCACCCAAATTGGAAAGCCCGCTGTTCACATGGCCAGCGTTGACTTGAAAGGAAAAGCATACGAGTAAGTTTAAGAATTGCAACAACAACAACAACATAGCCTTTAAGTCCCAAGCAAGTTGGGGTAGGCTAGAGTTGAAACCCACCAAGAGCCCCAAGTCACGGTTCAGGCACTTCAATAGCTGCTTTCCAAATACTCCTATTCAAACATAGATCTCTAGGTATATCCCAAGCTTTCAAATATCTTTTTATTGCCTCCCCTCATGTCAATTTCGGTCTTCCTCTATCTCTTCTCATATTATTAGCTTGGCTTAGGACTCCACAATGCACTGGTGCCTATGGAGGTCTCCTTTGGACATGGCCAAACCACCTCAACCGATGTTGGACAAGCTTTTCTTTAATTGGTGCTACCTCTAGGCGATCACGTATATCATCGTTCCGAACTCGGTCCATTCTTGTGTGACCGTAAATCCATCGCAATATACGCATTTCTGCAACACTCAGTTGTTGAACATGTCGAATCTTTGTAGGCCAACATTCTGCTCCATACACCATAGCCGGTCTAATCACCGTTCTATAGGACTTGCCTTTTAGCTTTTGTGTTATCCTCTTGTCACAGAGAATGCCAGAAGCTTGTCGCCACTTGATCCACCCTACTTTGATTCTATGGCTAACGTCCGCATCAATATCTCCATCCCTCTATAGCATTGATCTCAGATATCGAAAGGTATCCTTCTTAGGCGCTACTTGACCTTCCAAACTCATATCTCCCTCCTCCTGTACAACTCCGCCAAAGTCGTATCTCATGTATTCGGTTTTAGTTCTGCTCATTCTAAAACTTTTAGACTCAAGGGGCCGCTGCCATAACTTTAGTTTCCTATTTACTCCCGCTTGGCTTTCGTCCACTAACACTACATCATCAGCGAACAACATACACCAAGGGATATCCCATTGTATGTTCCTGGTAACCTCATCCACTACCAAGGCAAAGAGAATATGATCTTAAGGCTGACCCTTGATGAAGTCCAATTTTAATCGGGAAGTAATCTGTGTTACCATCAGTGGATTGAGCAAGTTTAACCTCATCCATTACCAAGTTTAAGAATTGCCTTTTGTTATATTTTCATCAGTGGATACACGAGCCATGTTGTTAAGCAGTTACTCTTGGTCTCTGGGCACCTGCCTTAGCTTCTTATCTGGAAGTATCTTGTACATATGGCCTCTGACCTCAACAACACTTGTATTTTTGCAGTGTGTTGAGACAGAATTCTTCCAGCTTTTTGTTGGAAGATGTCTACAGAAACCCAGGCCCGCTCCAGTTTGAAGGACCAGGTGCCGATTCAAAGCCTATTTCATTGTGCGTTGAGGATCAAGACTATATGGGCAGGATAAAGAAATTGCAGGAATACTTGGAGAAGGTAGTTTTGATGCCCCCTACATATTTTTGCTTCAAACTCACAGGAAGCCACAATTGAAGCCACAATTGACAACAAGTTTTGCCTTTGCCATGCCTTATTCTTTTTGCTATGTGGTGCAGGTGAAGAGCATTGTGAAGCCTGGGTGCTCGCAGGATGTTCTTAAAGCGGCGCTGAGTGCCATGTCTTCTGTGACGGAGACACTGAACATCATGACTTCATCGTCCAATGGCCAGACTCCATTCTGATTTATTAGGTGCCATTTTCCCATGGTGGCGATTATCAAGGTTAGAAACAGTGACCCTGGTATCACACGGGTTATTCTTTTGTAGCTTTTGGAGAGTTCTACCAGTTTTGATTTCGGTAGTTTATGAAGGCTTGTTGTTGATGAGTTTGAGCTCAAATAATTTTTGAAACAGCCGGATTGTGACATCTTAATAAACCAAATTTTGTGACTGCATTCACATTTCTGTGTCAGTCATCTGAATTAGAAAATGTGTCTGCGAGCAATCTCTTCATCTGACGATGTTTACTAGTTGCTTTGTGTATGGAGGCTTCAAGCGACTTGATCGTTGGTCTGAGAGTAATCTCGTTCATGGAGTAGAGTATAACTCTAGGTGTACTACATGTCTAATGCAAGATTAGGTATTTAGCTGAACTGAAGCCTGGGACATAAATGTAGGATCGTGATTGCGACTGCGATTATAGCCGTTTAAATTTAGCGGAATTCCAACGTGGCATGCTGAAGGTTTTGATACTGTTAGACCTATTCCATGATTTCCATCATGTCTTGTGTTGCTGGACCTACTCCATCGTGTCTACGTTTTTCTTTTTGGAGCTAAAATTATGTCTGCTCAGCGTCTTCAGTCAGTACTTCAAACAACACCGCCCGCCTCTGCATTCGCAGGTGTAAGACGCTACGCCGCTATGGACCATGTTTATCGACCAGCACTTGTCGATGATTGATGTCCTCGAAATTTTGTTCTGCTCGAGCTTGTTCGGCTGATACTATACTTGGCCATCGGGCCGGCCCGGCTCGGCACGGCCCGGGCACGGGCCAGGCACGGCCCGGAGGATGTCGGGCCGGCACGGCACGCCGTGCCACTGCGGGCCTCGTGCCTTGCCTTCGGCCCAGGCACGGCACTATGGGCCGATTTCTGTGCCGGGCCGGCCCGCGAGGCACGGCCATTTTCACAGGCCGTGTCAGCCCAAGGCCCACGAGAGAGGGAAGGGGAGAGCAGGGAGGCGCCAGCGCCACGGGGCCGGCCGGCCCGCCGCCTTCGCCTGCGGCGCGAATCCGGCCGCTAAGCGCCAGCCTTCGCCACGGAGGTGGGGCCAGCTGAGGAGGAAGACGCAATTGCTTGCTTGAACCCTAGATCCGCCACCGGTGAGCACGCCCGCAGCAGATGCCACCGCCTGGGCCGCCTTGGGCTCGCGGGATCTGAGGGAGAGGGTGGGGGAGGGCGCCACCGTCGCTGGCTCGCCGGATCTGAGGAAGAGGGTGCCACCGTCGCTGGCTCGCTGGATCTGAGGGAGAGGGGAGGAAGAGTGTGGAGGACAGCCTGCACTGATGAGGAGGACGAGGATCTCGGGCACGATCTCGATCTCGGGATGAGCGTCGGGGTCTGCACGGTCGGGTTGGGTTGAGGAGAGCGTGAGGGGCGGAGAGCCGGGAGAGCAGCGGGGAGGGGAGAGGAGGCGAGCGGAGGAGAGCGGCGGGAGCGTGAGGGAGCGGGAGGAGCGGGTTTCGGGTGAGGCGTGAGTGCGTGAGGATGAGGCGGAGAGGGAGCGGGCGAGCGGCGCCGGTGCTAGGGTTCGGGGTGACGGGTGAGGCGTGAGGGAGCGGCGCCGGTGGCCGCTTATATATGAGGGGGGTAGCGGGCCGGGGACGGCATGGGCCTTGGGGAGGGAGGGGCGCGGTGAGGCCGTGGCTGCAGGCCGGGCCGCTAGCGGGCCGGCCAGCTCTCAGGTCGTCTGCGTGTGCAGGTGTCCCACGTGCCTGGGGTAAGGCCTAGGCACGGCCTGCTCCCTCGGGCCGGGCCAGCCCGGCCCCGATAGCCTCCGTGTCGGGCTAAAAAAGCGGGTTTCGTGCCGTGCCATCGTGCCTCGGGCTGCATGGACAACTATAGCTGATACATATTCAGCTTGTTTCAGCTTATTCTCTCTCACATAACACTATTGAATCAGCCGAAATTAGCCACAACTGTATCAGCCGAACACAGCAGGTGGCGTCTTAACAATACCGACCGCGTCTTACCAATACCGAAGTTTTATTTGGTGAAGGATCCATTGCTCACACAAGTTTTCTCGACCTTACGTTTGCAATTTGCAGCCAGGAGTCCTTCACGAAATGGCAACGTTGTACATCACAGTAACTATTTACATACGCCCGCAGGAACAAAATTATAATTTTTTTTGGCGAGCCATCGTTTTCTGTGGGATTATTAGAATGATTGTAGTGTTGCAGATGAGGATGACGAATGAATGCTCAACATCTCCTGCCAACTCTCTTATCTGTCTCCTCTGGACATCTTAACCCGTGGAAATTTATTAACCATCGAAGTGTCGAACAAAGAAGCATCGTGTGTTGCTTTGCTTGTGTGCTGGTTCTTCACTGCGGCGCCGGAGCGTCACTGTCGCGGTGGAGCACTGCAGCGTGCGGGAGCAGTGCACCTTCGCTGCCGCGGCCTGCCCGTGCTACCGTGTTGCCGCAGCGTGTGGCGTGTCTACAAAAGACCCATTTGGCCGCTCGTGCGCCCCGCGCCCCCCTGGTGCCACTGCCAGTCCAACCACGAAGACTTCCCCGGCAAATTAAACCGGCTGGCCGTCTCGTGCGTTCTCTTCATTCGTTTTCACGTCGTCCGGCGCGACAAGAGAGAGCATTCTTGCCGTGCCATAGGCCACGTTGCTAACTCTAACCACTAACCAACCTATCTGAAATCCAGAAATCTGTCGCTGCCTCAATCCCACACACGACACGATAAAAAAGAGTTTTTTTTTACCAGAATAAAAGAGAGTTTCGCCCATGCTAGAAAAAAATGACCTCCTGACGCAGGCGCAGGCGTATGTACCGCGTACAACGACTCCCGTGCACCTACCTGTCCGTTCGGTTCAGCAGCTAACGGTGCGCTGCGCTCGGTCAGATCGGCTTCCATCCGAACGCACGCCTCACGATCGGACGGGCCTGGCACTGGCAGTGGCAGTGGCAGGCGGCCGACGCAGCGGTCTCCCGTTCTCGCTGCGCTGGCAAGAGCCGCGCTGCCGCGGAGTCCTGCTCAGCCCCGACCCCACCGCACGGAGGGAAGAAAAGAAATCCTGGGGGAACACGTCGTGATCAGCAACCAGATTCAGACGCGAGCGGGGGAGGCGGGCGGACCACACTAGAAACTTCTCTACGGCTCTACTGCGCACGCCCCAGCCCGACCGGACCGACACGCCTCCATCTCTCTGCCCGTCCCTCGGGGCTCCCGCCGGCGGCCGATCCGAATGGGGGCGGGAACCAATGGCCTGAGCAACGGCGCGTCCGCGGCCGCGGCCGCAGCCGCAGGGGAGCGCGCGGACGACGGGACCACGGTGTTCCGGGGCACGGCGTACTCGCCGCTGCGGACCACGGTGGCGCTCGCGCTGTGGCTCGGGGCCATCCACTTCAACGCCTTCCTCGTCCTCGCCTCGCTCTTCCTCTTCCCGCGCCGCGTCGCCGCACTGTACGCCGCCCCTCGTCTCCCTCCTCTCTTTCGCGTCCCCGGGATCGGCGGGATGGTACCTTGTGCCGTGCCGGCGTGCCCGTCTCAGTCAGCGCGACCGCTTCATCCTTGCGCTTGTTTCGTGCTGCAGGGTGCTGGCGACGCAGCTCTTCTTCATGTTCGTGCCGCTCAATGATAAGAGCAGATTGGGCCGCAAGATCGCCAGGTTCTCCTCCTCTTATTGACTAATTCGCTCCCTATTGTCCCCCGCTGGATTCCTGAATCTTACATTCGGACGGCGCGCGCCGCGTCTGCAGGTTCATAAGCAAGTTCGTGATTGGGTATTTTCCTGTCACTTTGCACGTGGAGGACTACGGCGCGTTTGATTCCAACAGAGCTTACGGTGAGCTCATCTTAACCATTTCTTTCCCTTTCTGGATGTTAGAATCCTCGTATCTAACCTTTTCAATAGATTCTATAGCCGTTAGCCGTATAAGAAAGAAGACTAGAAGAGCACCAAAGTGAGGGGTACTTAACAGAGCCATTGGACTGGTGATTTTACTGTTGTGTTTTCAGTGTTCGGTTATGAGCCTCATTCAGTTTTGCCCATCGCTGTTGGGATCCTCGGGGACCTTGTTGGATTCATGCCGCTACCAAAGATGAAGATTCTTGCAAGCAGTGCGGTGAGACTCCACCAATGTTAGCTTGCAAGAAGTACAGTTAGTGTAGCTCTGTTCTCACCCGGTGGTTTGGTTGGTTCTAGGTGTTCTACACCCCCTTCCTAAGGCAAATATGGACGTGGTTGGGGTTGGCTCCTGCATCGAGAAAGAGTTTCTACTCCTACCTTGGAGCTGGTTATAGCTGTATTATAGTGCCAGGAGGTGTGCAGGAAATACTTCATATGGATCATGATTCAGAGGTTTGCTTTGATTCTCTTGTGTTTTATTAGTATTTGCATTCTATTTTCGACTCGTGATCTTGTGCTAAACTACTTTGTGCTGAATGAAAGCATATCATATTAACTGAATAACATACAATCCTTCCAATTGGCAGGTTGCTTTTCTTAAATCAAGAAAAGGTTTTGTTAAGATAGCTATTGAGATGGGTTGCCCTGTAGTCCCAGTTTTTGCTTTCGGACAGGTAACAGCATTTCTTTTTGGTTTGTGATATGCAGTGCAACGATACCTTTACACTTAAATGTAGGCGCTGAAGCACGCAACTAATGAAAAGTTATCTGTTACAAACTTCAGGAGGCTAGCTAATGTTAATCCTGAAATGCGCACTTGGTATTCTTTGTTCCTATCAATAAATCCATATATTCAATTTCTGATCCTGATTATGTTTCCTGTCTTCGAGCCAGAGCTATGTATACAAATGGTGGAGGCCAGGTGGCAAGTTAATTGTCAAGATTGCTAGAGCAATCAAATTTTCTCCAATCATCTTCTGGGGAAAATTGGGGTGACTCTCTACTGCATTGCATTTCTCTTTTTTTTGGTCCTGCATATTTAATCTATATAAATTTGATAAAATTTCTGTTTAATTGCCATAATGGTATCCAAGAGTTTAAGAGCCTACTGCACTATCTAATGCAGGACTCCCGTCCCTTTTGCAACACCAATGCATGTGGTGGTTGGGAGGCCAATTGAGGTTGTGAAGAATCCTCAACCTACCATTGACGAGGTAAAGAAACCCTTCCGAGCAATCCACCGTGGAAAACTTTTCAGGAAATGCTATTTATAACTTAAACGCATATAACTTACCGAGGGAAAAAAATAGAGGCGTTCTAAAGTGCACTTTGTTCTGGTGTCTTAACAGATAAATGAAGTCCACAGACAGTTCGTTGTTGCGATGCAAGATCTGTTCGAGAAATACAAGACCAGAACTGGATACCCTGATCTTCGGTTAAGAGTTCTTTGATGGCGTGCTGTTCCAACCAAAAGCTCTTACCAGTTACCAGCTGGGGATTAGGGATAAAATGGCTGTGCAGACCCATCGATTCAATTGCTCGTAGCATTTGAGCTATGATGTTTTTGAGCACAGACCCACCATTGGAATTCCGTACTCCCTCCATTCCAAATTATAAGACTTTTTTTTCGAGATACGTAGCTTTTGCTACGTACTTATATATTATGAGCCTGCTTAGATCCATTAGCACTTAAAATTAAGTAGCTAATAGCTAATAACTGCTAATTCTTTGGCTAGCTTTTTTTTTTTTTACCAGGGAGCTGTTTGGGTTCACCTGCTAATAGATGGTTGAATAGTGAGTTGAAGTGCATATGAACTATTAGCATCTAGTAGCAACTCCAAATCTGCTAATGGCACTAATAGTTAGCAGCCCTATAGCTAATAATTAGCAGGTTTATTAGCATGTCTGTTTGGATCCATTGGTACTAATTTTAGCTACTAATTTTTTGTGCTAATGGGTCCAAACAGGCCCTATGTTATATAGAAAAATCAATGTATCTACAAAAGCCAAAAATATCTTATAATTTGAAACGAAAGGAGTATTAAGTTAGGTGCAGCATCTTTGCTTGGATGCTTGTGTGATGTGCTCCTATCATCTTTTCATCTTTAGGTGCTCTCGTATAACTCCTCGAGGTTTGGATGCAAAGATATGCATTGGTCTGCATTTGTTTGTACTAACAAAAACTAACAAAAACTAAGCATTGGTAGGTTCATCAGACCTCGGACCCAAGCATGAGTGTTCGCTTGAACTAATTTAGCAATACTTTTCAGCGAATGAATAGTGTTTTTCTCTCAATAACAAAGCAGCATAAGCATCTAACATAAGCTAAATTTCAGCGAAACGAACAGGGCCGTGCTTCGGATTGGTGTTAGCACAAAAGACTTCAAGAAGCTTTGTACGTCTTTCCTTTGCAAAACGAGCAACGTACCCTGTTGCATTGCATTGATTTTTTCTCATTGCACTGATATTTTTTTTTTATCTAACTGTGTGTCATCTTATTAAGAAGTGAACCGGGCTACAAAGGAGCATTTTATTAAGAATTAAAACGGGCTACAAAGGAGAGGTCAAGAGACCGATCCATAATCCCGAACACGAACACCTAAGACATTCCAACTCTGGGCTCGGGCTGAACACCAGAGACCACATTGTAGTATCAACTGGATAGTTGGAGTACCTCTCTCGATAACAAGAATTTCTATGTTTTCAAAGCTCCGAGACTACCAAGTTGATCAGGCTGTTTAGGCATTGATATTACCAATTTGATCAAAAAGAACTGTAAAAGGAGCACAAATCACAGGCACACATTATCAGTTTAGCGCACACATCACTTGCACCAGCATCATGGGATTCCCATTAAATGGCTTTATTTTGAAGTACAAGAGAAGCGCTCTATACTCGGAACCACCAAACACAGAGCAGCACGCAGCTAAATCACACCTTAATTGGGAGACGGGGGCATACAACACTAAAAATTTGATACAGACGAATGACCATCGCTGGCTACAACCAGTAGTGTAAACAACATGATGATGACTGTATATATACTTGTACAGAACTGGATACACTTCATGGGAACTCAGGAAAAGAGCATAACTGGGTCCTCCAGAGTTAGGTCCAAAGATTGATGAATGCACAATGCAGTCATGCAGACAACACGATGATGAGTTGATGACTGCAGGCTTGTACAGAACTGGATACACTTGGTCATCAGACCCTGTGTGCGGTGACTGGGACTAGGATCACACACTAACTACATGAATTTTCAGATAAACAATCACCTGAAGGCCATGAGACCATGATGGCTAATCCCCATTGGATTAATCCATCTTACATATGCTGGACTCCGTTCCAGCATAAGCTACATTTCCACGAGCCTGTCAGATACAGGATCAATAAGGCTGCATCTGTGGCATCATGCTCCATCACGCATACGATTTAAACCGAGCGAAACTGCAAGAGCAACCATTGCTCTTGGATCACTTGCCCCATCCATAGGGGCAACTTCACGATTTACAGGTACATCTGTTGACCATGATAACGACAACCTGTGGATTTTCCATAACAAACATAACCCATCAGTAATAGTCAGACTGCAAGGAAGAAACATCCCAAAACAGAATGGCAAAAATAAATGAAGATTTGCATCATGGTACAGGAACCACAGTTCTGATGCAAAACTTTTCCATTCTAGTGGTGATACAGTTAAGGTTTATTTAGCTCTGCAGGGCATCTATCAATCAATATAGCTATCTAATTAAGTTAGATACAAAGAATGCACTTTTGGTTTTGTTTCAGAATGATTTTGGATAAGCATCCCACATCCTGATTTTATTGCTTGTAAGAACATCTTGATTTCATGTCCTTTTCTCTTGCTTTTGAAGAACTTTTCATGTAATAAGAACTTATCTCTCTTTCTTTTTTCTTTTAAGCAATACTTAGCTCGGTATTTAGCAGATTATGGAGTACAGCAGTGAGCATACAAAGAACGACATGCAAAATAACATCTATGCATGGAGCTAGGTATTAAGGACAGAAAACCAGATAAGACAAGGTTCGTACCTTATGAATGCAAGGATGATTTCTTGCCAGGCAAGAACAAATGCTGTGAATACAGCAACACTGCTCTTTTTAGTCCTGCTGCAATCTAAGGGTACCTGCCATGAACCAAAACACTAAAGTCAGTTGTTACCTAATTGTCAGAAAGGAAACAAGATGATAACAGTGCAAACAAAGCAAACCTCAAGGTACAAATGCTTGGATGCAAAGTTCAGATTGCTCTCTGGTCTGAACCACTAGCTTGTGCAAACTGGGGTGAGGGGGCTGGGCTTATTAGGTGTGGATGTGCAGGAACGGGTGTTGCTGCAAAAGCCAATTAATGCAGGATTATTCACAGATGGAGAAAATAGAAATCTCAAACCTCGAAAACATAAAGAAATGTCTACAGTTTCATTTGTGTTCACGTGATGATTACCTTGGCTACTGAGTGTATGTAGCTCGAGTCATGTGACTTATTCAACTCAAATAAACAAACACTACCTATATAGGTACATGTAATCTTAAGTACAAGGGGCATTTTTAAGAGGCTGGTGTCACACGGTAGAGGACCAATTATATCAGCCCTAGGAATGCGAAAAAAAAAAACACAATGAGCCTATGCCATGCATGCTTCTATGCTTTCAATCTTTCTGGACCTTATGAATTCAGCATGAAAATTGTTACGAAAAGAATTAAAGATCTTGTTTGTCATGTATAACAGATTTTGACTCTTTTCTTTGCCAGGTCAGTTGATCAATGCGAATTGTCGATTAGTAAAACAAAGAATTTGTGAACATAAAGTACATATTTATAAACGAAAATCTCTCATCATAAAATGATAGAATTTAGACAAAGATAAACACAGCTATAATCTTGGTCCGAACAAAAATGTACCCAAGCTAAGAAGAAACATAATGGATAGAATGAGCACGTGACATTGAACACAAACTAAAAACTATCAAGGATGCACAAATATGACACGAACCTTAAATAATTTCCAGATTTCTAAAAGGGACCAAGCATATCATAGTTTCTTAAGAAGACACAGATCCTACTATACTGCAGCACAGCATGAATATCACATTACCTACTAAAAAAGGAGTCTGAATGGAAGGTCGAGCTGTTGGTGATGCACTGCTGAAGTTTGATCCAGTGAGCTGTACATATTGATTTCCAGGCATGTTGTAACTATGAACCGACAAATAACCATTGCCCCCACCAGAAATGGATGGACTCAACTGGCTAAATGTTTGGTTGGCTGTGTTTGCTGCAGCTGAGACTCCATAAATAGGAAGATATTGCTGACCAGAATATGGGTTTAATGTACCCTACAAAGAGAACATCAGTCAGAATAGGCAAAGGTTTGTGTAACTGGCTTATGCAGCACAAGAATATAAAAGCTGATAGCTTTTAACACTTCAACCTGTGGATAGATGTATTCAGTCCCATATGAAGGGTAACTGCAAAAGGAAAAAAAACGAACTGAATGCATTTCTATTGGCTTTCAAATAGTCATATCGTGTTCCATGAGCATGGTTGGATCAGATTATTTCATCATTTGAAAGGGGAGATACCATATGCACAAGCTAATTTAAGTAGTAAACACCTTATTATCAGATATACTCTCCAAAAGTAAGTGCAGGAAATTTTAATGTTTTGTTACAAAGAATGTTAAATTGGAAAACTAACAAGTGATGACATAAATTATCTTACCTGTACTGGGGAACTGGAAATCCTTGGTAGTAACCAAGTGGAAACGGTCGGTGGTGGCCATAACTCCCTAAATAAAAGGCCCTTGGAACTGGGACACCAAAGTAGGACCCAGCTGATCTTGGCCGCCCTAAAAATGCATACTGTTATTGCCAACGTTGAAACACATATAAATGTAGAAAGAATATTGGGAAAACACCTCACCCCTAATGAAGGGGGGGGGGTGACCTCTATTATATAGCCAATCAGGCTTGGTATATAAGGAATACAATCAGTGTATATGGAAGGAATGAACAAGCTTCCTAATACACATATATATTTCCTAATACCCGCCCGCAGTCGTAGCGGGAGGACCACGGACGCAAAGACTGGACCGAAACTCAGTGAACAATGGAGTTGGAAGGCCCTTCGTCATGATGTCCGCGAACTAGTGAGAGGACGGCACATGGAGGACCCGGACCTCACCCAAGGCCACCTTCTCACGGACAAAGTGGATGTCAATCTCAATGTGCTTCGTGCGCCAATGATGCACCGGATTGGCTGTCATGTATACTGCACTCACGTTGTCACAGTAGACAACAGTGGCCGAAGCAAGCGGGACATGAAGCTCCTGGAGAAGTTGGCGCAGCCAGCAACATTCGGCCACAGCATGAGCCACAGCACACGATACTCCGCCTCAGCACTGGATCGAGACACCGTGGTCTGGCGCTTGGAGGACCAAGACACTAGATTGTCGCCGAGGTAGACGCAGAAGCCGGAGGTGGAGCGTCGAGAGTCTGGGCAGCCAGCCCAGTCGGCGTCGGAGTAGGCAGTCAGAGACTGAACAGAGCCGGTGCCGATGTGAAGTCCGGAGGAGAGTGTGCCCTTCACATAGCGCAGGATGCGCTTGATTAGGGCCATATGGGGCTCGCGCGGATCATGCATTAAGAGGCACACCTGCTGAACCGCATATGCCAAATCTGGTCTAGTCAGGGTGAGGTACTGAAGGGCCCCAGCAAGGCTTCGGTACTCAGAGCCATCCTGGAGCTTGGCGCCGTCCTGTGCCGAGAGCTTGGCATGAGTGTCAACGGGAGTCGCTGTAGAGTGACACTCAGCCATGCCAAAGACGAAGAAGATCAGGCATATCTCATCGCCGAGACAGAACAGCCCGGGGAAGAACGCATCACTGAGATGCCGAGGAAGTGATGCAGGGCTCCAAGATCTGTCATGGCGAACTCGGAGTGAAGGCACCCCATGATGTGCTGGAGAAGAGTCGAGGACGACGCGGTGAGGACGATGTCATCGACATATAGCAGCAGATAGGTGATGCTCGGCCCCCCTTTGTAGATAAAGAGGGACGTGTCGGAGACGGAGGCGACGAAGCCGAGCTGTCGAATGTAGGAGGCGAACCGCTGGTACCATGCCCTTGGTGCCTGCTTCAGTCCATACAAGGACTTCTGGAGGAGACGGACGTGATCTGGAGCGGCGGGGTCGACGGCCGGAGGTCATTGGCGCGGTGAGATGATCTCAATGAGATGGCCGTGAAGAAACGCGTTCTTCACGCCCACCGAGAAAGCCTCGACCACCACCAATAGCTTTGTGCCGCAAGCGAGTGACCCATCAAGATGGAACTTATGCTTAAGATCCACTTGCCCGACACGACATTGGCACCGGGCGGCCGCGGGACGAGGCGCCAAGTGCCGTTGTCCATGAGAGCCTGGAACTCGTCGACCATGGCAAAGACGCTTAGTTGGCGCCGGCCAGAAAGCACTGCGGTAGTTTGCCGGAAGCGGAGAGGGCGATGATGGCGAGGCCGTCAAGCCCTGGTAGGACACCCGCAGAATGGCCCCAGTCACAATCCGAGTGACAGGTCGTGTAGGAGCAGGAGGTGGCGACGACGCCACGATCGCGCGCGCGCCGAGGTTCCGCGGCGCAGGGCGGCGGCGGCGAGCAGTGGGCGCCGTCTGCTGGTGCCAAGACCATGGGCGCCGGCGCGGCGTATACGCCGCCAAAGCGAGTCTGCCGTAGCCGCCGGTGGCCACCGGTGTAGTGACGAGGCAATGGGCGGCCACCACCGGTAAGTAGGCGTCGCGGCGGCGGTGGAAACCCTAATCGCATGAGCGGGGCGACGTCCAAGCGGGCCGGTCCTGCAGTTGAGGAAGAGGGCGGCGTCCCGCCCGCAGACGGAGCGCGGTACACGACTGGGCCACGTACCAGGATTGCGGAGTCATCGTTGGGAAGTTCCTGCAAAACAGCAGGTGATGGCCGCGGCTGCGCAACGTCCGAGGACGGAGCGACCGAGGCAAGAGGAGCAGCAGAGGGGCTCGACAAGAGGAAGTCGAGCTGTGACGGGTGAGTAGGGTGGGAGGAGAAAGGAAAAATGGACTCGTCGAAGACAACATGGCGAGAGATGATGACTCGACAGGTGGATAGGTCAAGGCAGCGGTACCCTTTGTGGGACGAAGGGTAACCAAGGAAGACAGGCTGCAGATCGAGGAGCAAGCTTGTGGCGTGCCGTGGCTGAGACATTAGGATAGCACAGACAACCGAATACACGCAACTGAGAGTATTCGGGGGGCTTGGAATAGAGGAGTTGGTAGGGAATGTTATTCTGAACAGCAGAACAAGGGCGCCTGTTCAGAAGATAGGTGGCGGATAGGTGGCGGTGGTGAGTGCCTCGGCCCAGTATGGGGCGCCCATGGAGACGTGAATCAGTAGGGTGCGAGTGACATTATTAAGGGTGCGGAGGACACGCTCAGCTTTCCCATTCTGAGGAGAAGTATAGGGACAGGAGAGGCGCAGGTGGATGCCCCAAGAAGTCAAAAAAGATGTGAGTCTTATTGACAAACTCGGTTCCGTTGTTAGCTCAGATCTCGCGAACGGGAAGATCGAATCGTATATTGGCATATGCACGTAAGTCTGTGATGTGTTTGGTGACTTCAGACTTGTGAACAAGAGGAGTCGTCCAACAGAAATGGGAGAAGTCATCCAAAATGACAAGATAGTAGCGATAACCAGAAATACTAGGTACCGGAGAAGTCCAGACATCACAATGGACTAACTCAAAAGGAGTGGAACTACGAAAGCTGGAATTAGAGAAAGGTAACCGCACATGTTTCCCTAATTGACATGAGTGACATAGAGTGTGACTGTCTTTATTACAAGTAATGGATGCTTTCTGTCTAAGTGTAGTGATGGCGGCAGGACCGGGATGATCGAGACGGAGATCCCACAAATGGAGGAGATGGCGAGACCGGCGTGGGTGTCTTTGCAGAGTCAAGGGCCGGAGGAATGGTGTAAAGATCGCCGGTGCTATTGCAGAGATAAGAATCTCGCGTCTGTCTGAAAATCCTTGATGAAAAAAACCAAAAGCGCCAAACTCTATGGTGCGATTATTATCCTTAGTAAATCGATTTAACGGAAATCGATTACGGATTAATGAAGGGACAACAAGGATGTTTGTTAAGTAAAACCGGAGGTGGGGTGGTGAGGGTAGAGTTGCCACGACACGCGGATCGGAAGGTGTGGCCATTACCTACAAAGAATGGAGGAGTGAGATGGAGGAGGCCGGAAAGAAGAATACCATCCGTAGACGACATGTGGCCGGAGGCTCTGAGTCAACGACCAAATGCACCATTCTCAGTCACCATCTCGTTCAAGGCAGCGACGAGTCCCGCTTGATCCCAGTGGGCGCTGAAAGGGACGAGTAAGCGGCGTGGGCTGCGGTGGTAGCCCAGAGACTAGGGGCGCCGCCAAGCACCACCCCACCGCTCGATCGCTTCGCTGGAAGCTCGAGCGTTGTAGGAGGTGGCGCCAGATCAAAAGCAACCACGGGGGCGGTGGGGCGAGGGTTGCCGGATGGGGCACGAAGCCGCCGCCGCTTTTTTTTTGCCGCCACCGCTTCTTCTTTGCCGCCGCCGCCGCCGGTCCGCGCAGCAGCCACCGCCGCATTGGCCGCCACCATTGAGGCCGCTGGCCGCCGGCAACAGTCCAAAGGGGCGACACGACACCGCTTTGACAACCGGAGGAGGAGGACGGCGTTCCGCAAGCGTATGGTGGAGTTGGGGACCTTCTCCTCGTTAGCGAGGCGAAGTTCCTTCCAGAGCGAGCATGTCCCGCTACCGGTTGAAGGACGGAAGCCGGGCGGTGGAGTTGGCGATGTCGTCGTCGGTACCGGTGGTGAAGCGGCGGTTGAGGCCAAGGAGGAGTTCGAGACAAGCTGCGAGTCCCGAACGGGATGACCGACGCCGCGAAGGGCGCCGGCGGTCTTCACGCGCCGCAGATTTCGGCGATGGTGGAGTCGCCTGCGCCATGGAGTGGAAATCATGGTCGAGGAAGATCGCCGGACCGCTGTTGGCGCGGAAGAGTCCCTCGATGGCGACCCGAGGTCCCGGACGGTCCGGTTTGTCATCGATCATGGCGAGGTCGAGGACGGAGTCGCCGACGGAGCCGAAGAACCGTAAGCGACGCAATAAATCCGCTGATCCCAAGCAGGATCCTGGGGGCGAGGTGCCATCGTGCCATCGATGTGCGACCGGAGGCCAAACTTACCGCACAAAGACTTGAAGTAGGACGCCCATCTAGAGTAGGCAGTGGACTTCATCGTCAGCGTCACGGGAATATGGGACTTGATGTTGACGGTAGCATAGGGTTGGACGGTAGGGGAGATGAAGCCGTCGCCGCCGGGCGTGTCGCCAGCAGGAGCACCAGAGAAGCCGCCGGTGGCAGTGGGTGGCACAAAGGTGCCACCATTGGCAGCAGGAGGCGGGCCAGAGGGCGGCACATGGCCAGCAGCAGGGGCTGTGGGGGCGCCAGATCCAGAGGGGACGGTGGCCATGGCACAGCAGGCCAGGAGGGGAAGGCGCAAGGAGGCAGGGGAAGAGGGCGCAGGAAGAAAAGAGAAGGCTCATGATCTAATTAGCTGATACCATGTAGAAAGAATATTGGGAAAACACCTCACCCCTAATGAGGGGGGGGGGTGACCTCTATTATATAGCCAATCAGGCTTGGTATATAAGGAATACAATCAGTGTACATGGAAGGAATGAACAAGCTTCCTAATACACATATATACTTCCTAATAATAAACATGGTAATTTCTAGAAGAGTGAGTGTTTATGCAACCAGAAGGAAATAATTAAGCTCATCATATAACTCAGAGAATAAGCATGTTGTAGCTAGTAGTAGTAATAGCAGTAAGTAAATACATGAACAGCACAGTCCACGGCCAACAGGCATCAATCGCAATTAACATATAGGCACTTCTGTTAACATAAATGCTTGCTCAATAGTGTTTTCTGTTTGATCAATAAATGGTGGTAACCAAGGTAAGAAAACAACACTTTGATCAACAATAAGATAAGAACTCTTTCTTCTTAATGGGAAGGCAGAGCTCCTGCCAGTTACTTAAAAAAAGTAACCAAGGTAAGAAAGCTTCGCTCGTTATCTTCTTAATTGATGTGATTAATGGACAATACAATTCCACACTCCATAGTAAGTAACTGCACAATGATGCAGTTAGTTAACTCAGTTCGGAAGCCGCATTTTTACACCAATAGTCCAGTGTATTAAACTTTATCTTTAACTCGGCATTAAATACTTTTGACATAGTATTTCGAAATGTGATTACGAGAAACAAGTACACTGCAAATCGGTAGAGAGTATAAGGATACTATACCATTACCAGGGGGCACGCGATGCTGGGCTCGACCCAATGAAGCCAGGTTACAATTGGCTCGCCTGCCGTCGATCACCGGCGTGGGGTCCTCGCAGGCCTTCCTCGCGGACTCGGCTTCACGGAATGTCACCTGTGGAAGAAGGGCGAGCAAAAATCAACGCAGGTCCTCACAGCCCATCTACCACGCGCGCGCACACACAGAAGCGAAAATTAACAGCGAAAAAGGAGTGAAATCGAGAGGCACCCACGAATCCGTATCCCTTGGAGCGGCCAGAGTGGCGGTCGGTGATGACGACGGCCTCGAGAATGTCCCCGAAGCGCTCGTAGAAGCGGCGGAGCCTCTCGCTGTTGGTCTCCCAGGCGAGCCCGCCCACGAAAACCTTGGTGTGGGTGGTGTCCCCGAAGGACGAGGGCGAGGCGAGAAGGTGCAGCCCCGAGCTGGAGCTCGATGCCGACGCCGACCCGGACGCCGACCCCGCGTGCTGCTGCTGCTGCTGCATAGCCATCATGAGCGGATCGGAACTTCTGGGAAGCGAGGAATCGGAGGGAATCGTCGCTCGCCGCGACCCCGCCTCCTCCCTTGGCGCGAGGGGATTAGGGGAGGCTGGAGGCGCGATCGCGCGAGCTGAGTGAATCGGCGGGTGGAAGAGCTGGAGAAAAGGCAGAGGGCGAGGCGGCGGCGAGGGGAAAGGGGATTGTGATTGCCTGATTGGGGGCCCGGGCTTTCGCGTCTGTGCTAGGGGAACCCAGCTCATTTTGGCTGCCGCCCATATAGCTCTTCAGGTGTTCTTTTTTTTTTTTATAATGCTCTTCAGGTGTTATTTGAATGACCAGGATTCTAGGAATATAGATTATCTAGCATGAACGGAATTATGAGATTTTAAGACTTTAATCAAATGATAAGATTTTGAGAATATATCTTATTATCTCCCCTATTTAGATAGTGTATAGATTTTTTTTATCAAAATGCAAAATCTTTAACCTATTCAAATGAGACCACACAACATCTACGATATAGTTTAAAAAACAATTACTACATTAATAATTTTTTAATCACTAAAAAAGTAGAGATCATATTTGTTGGTTTTCTTTAACCATTTTTTAATACTATGCTCCAAAAAACTATAAGACAATTTTGCATCGAGAGCATCGAATCAAATCACTATATGCCCTGTTCGTTTCTCTTATAATCAGTCTTTTTAAACTTGTTTTTTCACTAAGAACAGTGATTTTCTCTCACAATAAATCAGCCGGAACAGTGTTTCAGCTTGTTTTTTCAGCGAAGCGAACAGGGGCATAATCATCTTTTATACTTTCTCTTTATTATACATTTTCATTGGGAACACTTTCTTTTCTCCTTATTCCTCCCCCACGTCATTTTTCTTCCTCTAAACTAGATCGGTGGGACACTCTGCTCGTTTCTGCGTATCTCGTTCATTTTTTCCAAGTGCAAAAAAGATATGGAGTTATGATTGTTAGAGAGAAAGTTTTCAATCCTGCCAAAAAATCAAGATTGAGAGTGAGTTTTGGAAACTCCTAAAAATGCTCACGAACTATGTAGGACCTTTTGCGATTCTATTCTGATATGAAATGAGCATGAAAAAGGGTGTGCCCACTAAGGAGATCTTTTATGAATGATGACAGTTTGGAGTCACTCTATTACAGATAGGGTTGGAGCCAGAATTTGAGCATAGAGGATTATTTAGGCAATACCAACAACAATTATACATGATAAAAATACACAAAATAGTGGTATGTTTGATTCCTTTATTTATAATTTCTTTAATGTTTTGAAGTTATTTGTCTTATCACTAATAATATATTGTGCCTCGTGTATAGCGGTATCGGTTGCTCTTCATGAAGAATAACGGGTGGTATCTATTTGTTTGGTGTGGACAAGATGAACATTTATCTTTTGTCACTTCCTCTTTTGAGATGTATTTTGCATTAGCTCTCTATGTTTCTGTACAAAACGGCTTGAAACTTTTATATCAAACGTATATGGAACATGTTGAAGTCATATTAGTGAATAAGTATAGTCTATTCCTGCCTCCCCTATTTTATTTCCTGGATCTACCCCAATTGAATTACCATCATTCAGGGGTGAATCTAGCCAAGAACATCATGGGGTCAACTTCATTGCATGACATAGATTTCCTCGAGTTATAGTGGTATTTTACTAAAGGATTTACAAGCTTGGTTGAGCTTCATGAACCGTGACAAATACTCCTAGTTCCGCTCGTGCCACTATTTTTTAACCTAACTTTCACTACTTCATAGGCATGGTACAAAAATAAGGAGGAGGGGGCTCCATTTGAAAAGTTCGAGCACATGCTTACAATACAACTCGGCATATGGGTCAAAGCCTCACACAAGAAAAAGTGGCTAGTATAGTTGATAGTCGTGCCTTCTTAGGTGGTGTTTGGTTGCCTCTCATAAATTTTAGTCGTTGTCCCATCGAATGTTTGGACATATGCATGTAGTATTAAATATAGACTAATTATGAAACTAATTACATAGTTTGTGATTAATTTACGAGACGAATCTTTTAAGCCTAATTAGTTTATGATTTGACAATGTGGTGCTACAGTAACATATGATAATGACGGGTTAATTAGGCTTACAAAATTCGTCTCGTGAAGTACTGACGAATTATGTAATTTGTTTTTTTATTAGTATCCGAACACCACATGCAACATCCTTCCGACACACCTTTTAAATTTTAGTCACCGGATCTAAAACACCACCTTAGTAAGAGAATCAAACACCTTGTTGGAGTCTCTTCTGATTTTGTAGTCTTCTTGCTTGAGTGTTTATCTGCAGTTCGGATATGAGTGGTCGCAAAGACCAATGCCCATAGCGCGTGCGTGGAGACCCCACAAGCATACTATCAGCAAGAGTTTGATTATCAATAAGCGACGTACCTAAAAGGAGGGCTTGAGCTTCAGCCTCCAAAGGTTCCAAAGCCTTTTGAATCGTGACCCGTAAAATGGAAGCATGGGAAAGGCTTGTGGTAGATTGATTTAGAATTAAAATTCCAATGCATGTGTTTGGATTGGTGCCCTAAATAGCCATCGAGGCATCACAGAAAATTCTAGTCTCACACATAACATGTGAATTTGATCTATGTTGGGGTGGACTTGCAAAGTTCGGAGCATGAATTTGTGCAGGAGGATTTGTATCAGAGGCCGTCTCAACCGCCAAAGAGTAGGCTCCATCAATAGCTTTAGCTTCATACAAAACTTTTTGAACAGACCATTATGCGTTATTAAATATGTGATTATTCCTAGCCTTCCATATGCACCACATAATGGAAAAGATCAAATTTGCAGTAGCTTAAGAAGGTCCTTGCTGTAGAATATCGATAATATGAGAGTGAAGCCCATTGCTTGAACGAGGGCAAGGCACTAGTTTGGAGACCTATGGGAAAGCGAACAAAACCATCACGCAAAGCTACAATTGAAAAAACAAGTAAATATCATCTTCTAGATTAGAACAGAGGGAGCAAGAACTCTCAACACCATATTCCATGAACCTTACAAGTAGTTCTTGTAGCCAACTCAGAACCGTGCAAATATATTTGACGTGGGGTTGGATAATAATCTTGTCTGCCCATATCTGTCAAAGAATATGAATAGCCAGCATATGTATATTAAAAAGGGGACTGCTGTGCATGTCCTCAGCCATCAAGGATCTGTAAGCATTTTTGGAAGAACATGTACCACTGGATGGTGGTTTCCAGCACAAAATGTCAGGGCCATTACCTGCAAGCAAAGAGATTTGCAAAATATTTTTCAAGGTTCGTTGCCAAAAAATAGTTGCAATTAGCCCAAGGAGATGATGACTCTCACGCTGCACCTTCAAAAGTCGAAGAGCAAGGTGAGGTCTCGTTTGGTATAGCTTTGGATGACTTGAGCTCTTCCTCCTTTGTGCACTTTAGCGAGGAGACATTTCTCTCAAAGTGAAAGCTGATGCTGCCTATCTTTGACTTCATTCACTTTCTCTGTCGTACACCGTAACAAGGAGCCAAAAGCCGTTGGAGCCGTGCCAAAAAAAAAAAAACAGCCCAAGTGAACACTACTTCTATGTCTTTAGCGGTTCCTGATCATGATGTGCCCAATTGACTTCACGTAGGAGCACTTGCTCCAATGCCTTGCCGTCTGCTTCATCGCTCGCGAGCCCTTACTCCATCGCTTCGCGGCCTTTGTGGTCTGCTTTATCACTACAGTTCACTCGCCTAACACAGCAATTAGCTTTACGCTGAGAACAATTCAGTCATGCGTTTAGCGCTTCAGACGGCCCCACGACAGGTGTCATGGTCGCCGCACCCTCGGCGGAACGACTTCGTACAATCCATCGTCACGACGGCAAGTGGCAAAAGCGAAACTGACAAGTCTGACCAAACCTCCCCCTCCTCTGCTTGCAAGGGAAGAAAAGAGGGCCTGCTGCTGAAACAGTCGGCTCGCCTGGCCCCTGTGTCCGTCCGCTCGTTTGCCCGTCACGCTGAACATCTGAGCCCCGCTAGAGGCGGAAACAGCCCCGCTCCTTCCGCCGCTGCGGCCTTGCGGGTTCCGTGCACACCACCGGTGCGAGAAACCCCGCGGCCGCTCCGCGTCCGTCCGATCCCCATCGACGAACCGACCACCCCCCGCAGGCCGCACCGCGCCGGCCCCGCACGGCATGCTACGCACACCCTCCCGCACCACCAGCAGCACGCACGAGGCACGACACACAATCGTCGCACGCGCCCCCCGGTTCGCTCGGGCTCCGCTCGAAACCCCTGACGGTGGTGGCCGGTTAAGCCCGAGCGGTGGTGGATGGACGTGCGCCGGCTCGGAGGCCGCATCGCGGCAGCGCGGAGGGCGCTCGCAGCGGGGGGCTCGCGGCCCATCTCGGCGTGGATCGCCAACGGCCTGGTGATAGTCTCGCTCGTGCTCTCCTCCTGCGACCTGCTCCGCCTCTGCAGCGACAGGGACCGCCGTCTCCGGTTCCCGCTCGGCGGACGCGAGTTCGTCACCGTGGTCTGCCAGCTGGCATCCATCGTGTACCTCTTCAGCCTTGCGAACACCGAGACCCCCGCCAGCCGCGACCAGGGCGGCTCCCCCAACCAAACGCGCGCCGACGCCGACGCCGACGCGCCGGAGGCATTGCACGACGGGGTGGAGGACGGGGACGAGGAGATCGTCGCCGCTGTGGTGTCCGGGGCGCTGCCGTCGCACCACCTCGAGTCGCGCCTCGGAGACTGCCACCGCGCGGCCAGGCTGCGGCGGGAGGCGCTGCGGCGGATGACGGGGCGGGACGTCGAGGGGCTCCCACTCGACGGGATGGACTACCAGGCCATCCTGGGGCAATGCTGCGAGATGCCCGTCGGGTACGTGCAGGTGCCGGTCGGGGTCGCCGGCCCGCTGCTCCTGGATGGGGTACAGTACCATGTTCCCATGGCTACCACCGAGGGATGTCTCGTGGCCAGCGTCAACCGCGGCTGCAGAGCCATCGCTGCGTCCGGGGG